TTTTTGCAGAAATGGGGATTGAACTCAGTCCCTTGCACTTGCCAGGCAAGTGCTTATTCTACTGAGCTATCTCCCTGGCTCTCAGAAATATTTTCTTAGAAGGAGCGAACATCACCCAGAGTCCTACGAATATCTTTATTTTTTTTTTTTTTCCTTTTTGCAGTACCGGGGATCAAACTCTGGACCTTGTGCTCTCAGGGCAGGCACTTATGCTGCTGAGCTATCTCCCTGGCCCCCAATGAGTACCATTTTAAACTATATTCAATTGAGGAACTCAGGAAAAATGCACATGGGCATGAACAGCCCTCAGTCCGAGCGCAGGCCACACCAGCATGGTCCACTCCTGAGGGGATGGAGCCCTGCCTGCACCAGGAGACACAGTGAGCATCGGGATGAGGATCTGGGGGTGCACAGGCGGAGGGAGTCTGTCCGAGCCCTACTGGCAAGGGCAGAATTATGTCTAAATGCAGACCATGGTGCAGAGAGCACGCCCAACACCTCCAGGAAGTCCCGCCCTCACATCCTGCCTCATCCCAGGGCTGTGATTTGGGACAATGATGCACCTTCCTATCAAGGCCTCGTTTCCTTAAAAAACCAGAGCTTGGAAGGAGGGCAGGCTGGTCACCTCCTGTGCATAAAAATAGTGGAGCTGTTTTGGAGTGACCTGGCAGGCTAGGCTGTCATTTGCTGCAGACTGAGCCCTAAAATAGAAGAGGGGCCAGCAGGGGCAGCCAGAGCTCTGGGCATTTGAGGCCTCTCACACCTCTGTCTGCCTGGCACAGGCACCAGTCCAGGCATGCCAGTGGCACTCTCCAGAAAGGCCCACTGAGGCACCATCAGGGAGCCTCCCAGGCTCGGTCTACAGGAGAACACGTGGCCGGGCGGGGCGTGTCCCACCCTGTCCTGATAGATCACCTCATTCTGCAGCTGAGGTTCAGCAAGGGCAAGTGAGCGCCTGACCACAGCTTCCCAAGCTGGGCCTGGACTCCACCACCCAAGCTCCTCCCAGGACCCTGGCCTCTTTCAGCACTCACACCCAGCCCCTCCCAGCCTCGCACTTCCCTGCCTCTGTTCCTGCCCGGGAGCCCTTCCTCTCAGCCCGGCCGCATCCAGCTTGTCCATCAGGCCTGGGACAAGCCTCCTCTCTCCTGAAGCCTGCTTTGGGCACTCCAGCCCACACCCTTCGGCCCCTGGGCCTCCTCTGCTGAACCTCATCACTCAACACTGCAGAGCGCTCCACCCCAAGATCTGTCTCCCTAAACAAGGATAAACCCAGGGCGGGCCCCCGGTTAAAGCCAGGTTCACAGCCCTGCTTCTCCCCAGGGCTCCAAGGGTTTGCGGTAGAACTGGGTGGGCAGCAGGTGTGCTGTGTGGAGAGCCCTGCTCCCCTAGGTCATCTCCTGCACCTGGCTCCCAGCAGCACCCAGAATCGAGATTCTCAAGTGGCTGGAACCCCGCACACACCTCTCCACGGCTGCCTGCACATGCTCCGGTGGACATGAGCCAAGCCTCCCATGCTCACCAGCAGGGTCCTAATCCTGCTGCCCCGTCCTGGTGGCAGATCCATCCTTCCGGTTCCTCAGGCCCACCCTGCACCTTCCCCCCTCAACCCCATATCTACCCAATCAGTGAACCCCACAGCTCAACTCTGAAACCCTCCAGAGGCTCCCCACGGCTGGCCTCCCTGGTCCAAGCCACCCTCACTTAGTGGCAGCCCAACTCCACCTCCCGCTGTCTGTTCTCAACACAGCCCCAGAGAACAGCAGGAAGCATAAGAAAGCACCTCTGCTCAAAACTGCCCTGACTCCCCTGATGCTTGGAGCAGGGGCTGAGCCTATGGGATCCCGACTTGGCCTTCCAGGTCAGCTTTCCCCAAACTCCCACTCCCCCTCCCCTTGACTCCCTCTCTGCCCCAGGCGTACTTCCACACAGCATCACCCGTGCAGGGCCTTTGCACCTGCTGTGTCCTCTGCCTGGAAGGCTTCCCCAGCTGCCAGCCTGGCTCCCTCCCTCCCTTCCTTAGATCTCTGCCTAGCATGCCATCCAACCCTCAAGTCCCATCCCACCCCCTTGGGCCACCCCACTGCCTCACTGTCCCCCACATCCCCGCTGCTATCTGACACCGGGACTCTCAAGCACCTCGTGCCTCAGTTTGCATGTGTGCTGTGTCACCACAGCCCAGACTCGGGGGCTGTGCTTTCTATTTGTGCGGCACTCCAGGACATAGCACAGCACGTGGAGCTCAGAAACTGGGTGACGCTGTTGAGTCAGCGAGTGGGGAACATGTTCATTAACCCCAGCCTCGCAGGATGCCCAGGGCTACCTACATCCACCAAGGTCATACAGGTACAGGTCTGCCATGGTCACCCAGAGAGTGAGGACACAGCCTCAGTGGGAACCAGGCCTTCTGCCTGGATACTCTTGCTAGGAACAGCCAGGTGATGACATCCATGTCCTTAGAGTCCTAGACAAGGCTCAGGCTGGAGGGAAGAGAGTCCTACGGGAGAGAGAAGAGCAAAGAAGGCCAGCTGAGGTCAGAGCCACCCGAGCTGTCCGAGCTCCCCATTCCAGAGCTTCTCTATGTGTCCACTGAGTGGGGTCAGCATGACATGGTAGCCTCTGC